GTTATCACAGTAAAAGAATGTTACCGCTGGAAGGAAATTGTATGTTTTTTTCGATTAGATAGATCAAATCATTAATCGACTGTTTTGTAACTTTCGTATTATGTATCAAAATAAATCTAGCGAAATTTGGATATCCATTAAAACCTTCACGGGACATCGAAAATTCTTCACTTTAATTTGTTAAACAAAAATATTTTAAAGTATAGTCACTTGCAGTTGACCGTAGAAAATAACGGGCGACAGTTTCACTAAAATCATATTCACAAGCCAAAGCTAAGGTTCACAATTTAATATTCAACCTATCAAATATTTCTGATTGGCTTCACGTATCATATATTTCGAATGAGTTATTTATCTATATGGGAACATAAGACGAAGAAAAACAATAGTTTATCCTATACTAATATTTGGGAAGTACATCCTAAGGATCATAACTTGATTTTGTAAGAAATTACAATATATGCCATTAGAGAATTTTAATCATAAAATTTTATTCCATGTCACTAATATATATTAACGGGTCAACAGGTTTAAAGATATTAAAAGATTTTGTTTATATAATTCATATATTTTTCGATAATAACTATATTACACAATTAATATAATTTGAAATTGTTATATACTAATAAACTAGATCATCACCCGTACTACAGTACGGGTTAAATTTCATTTATCACAAAATTTATAAATTTTATGTTTTAGAATAAAGGTATGATATATTATAATAAGTGAAAAAATAATATTTTTTTGTCAGCCCCTATATATAATATTAGAATGAATATATTTTCCTTTTTCTGTAGTATTCAATTATGTATATTTTTTTAAGATATGAAAACGGAAAATAAGATTATTTAAAAAAAATTAAATTTGTTTGAACAATGAGTTAATTTGTGTTAACAACCACAAAATAAGAGTGTATATAATTTAGTTAGATCAAAAATCAAAATATTATAAATAAATCTGTTATAAGGATCATAACTTTCTACCATATAATATTTTAAACATTCCTTTTTTTAGAAAATCAAATTAATATATTTATAATTTTTTTTATCTTTTTAATCTATTAAATATTTATGATATTCTTTAATATATTAAATTAAACTTTTTTAAAATGTTCCAAATTAAAATCTTTAAAAAATTTTATTGTAGTAGGTAAAATTATGAATTAAAAAAAAAATGATATGAAATTAAATATAAATATTCAAATAGTTATAAGGATCATAACTCATTTCATCATATAATATATTATATTCAATCCGCCGCCTATTATAAATATTTGTTTCGAAAAATCAAATTAGAGTATTTATACTTCATAAATTTTTGACCTATTAAGTATTGATGATACTAAAAAAAAAAGAATATATTACTCAAATATGAATTTTGACCCGTTAAATTTGTTCTTTCATACATTGAATAATTTATACTCGTTTTTAAAAATTCAAATTTTTGTATATGCGGAAAAAAATTTACTTTTTTTTATTATATAGATGATATAATGATTTATTTATTTATATAAATAGAATCATATAAAGATGAGAGGTGGAGTATAATGATTAATAACAAATTGATATGGTAAGTTAGATATCAAATCTTATATGCTCATTTTGATTGGTCATTTTTTAAAAGAAATTAATGATAGATTTTCGTTTTTATACTTAAATTAAATTAATTAAATTACATAAAATAGTATTTGACTTGTTTATCCTTAATGAGTTGAATTAATTTACTTTATAAAATTTTATTTCTAATGGCATTCTTAAGTAATTTTTTACAAAAGAAAAGGTTAGTTAAGGGTATGTTATAAAGTGTACTCCCCAAATAATAGTATAGGATTCGAAAATGTAACACAATTAGTAAAAATGTTGTATACTAATATATAATTCGAAAATGTGACACAAAAATGTTATTGAAACTGTTAATGAAAATGATATATCATTGAAATATTTTATATCAATTGACTTTATAAAAAATGCTATTTTGAATTATAATACTCATATAGTTCGAAAATGTTATTGAAAATATTATATACTAATCCATTATTTGAAAATGAAAATGTTATTCAAAATGTAAAATTCAAAATTTAAAATGTTATATCATTGAAAAAATGTTACCGTATTTAAATGATTTTTTCTAGGATTTAAAATTCAAATTTCATTATGTTGGCAAAAGAAAATCAGATCCTACATGAATCAGGACTCTTTAAACTAATTACCGTAACTTGTGTGAGAATTATTCTTCACAATCTGTGTTATCTACTACTTAAAAGATTGCATATTACCATATGTATTAATCGAAGATTTGATTATGATATTACAATTATTGTTAGCATTTAAGTTTTAATGTCCATTTTTTTTGCAGAAGTATCTTACCAAACAAGATTTACATAGCAATATGGAATATATAAAATGAAAAGTTAGGTGAAGATCCGATTTAATATTTCCGGTGCAAATGAGTAAGATATTCAAAAATTACTAATATAGAAAAGTAATACATTAAATTTTGTATTTATAGGACAAATTCAAGCTTTGCATTTTTTATTAATGAGTGTAAACTAATAAACATTTTTTTGTTTCGGAAACAAATATTAATTAGATTTGCACTACTATAATTATCGTAATTGTGATAATGCGTGAAACTATTTTTAATGAATAAATAAAAAAATTGTTAAGATTATAATAAATTTAATATTCTCTAATATTTCATCATCATAAATTAAATATGCAATTAAGATTTAGATTTTCTTGGTAAATATTTAATCTACCAAAACGTAATTAAAGAAACAACCATATATATATTATAGACTATAGGTAGATAAGAAAAAAAACCATAGATTAAAAAAATATAAATTGATATACTTAAATAAATAATACCAAAATCGTAATGAGATAAATAAAATAATTATTTGTGAATATTCTCACCGTGATATCATTTATTTGTTTAGATTTTTTTGCGTCTAAACCTAAATTGTGTAACACCATATTTTTCTCTATAAATAAAAGCTCGATTGCTATCAAAGTAGTTTCATTATTGCATTGTTCATTGTTTACATAATCTATATAAATATCGATGATTACTAATGTGAATAATGTTTGTGTACAGCTTTTAAAGCGGCGGAGTAGCCATGGTGCACTGGTGGTGGTGATGCGTTGCTCTCCCTTCAAACCTAAGGTGTGTAACATGTAATCGATTTTTTGTCGTCGTTGAGCATTTTTTAATTTTTTTTGAAATTATTATTCTAAGAAATTAAGGTATTGATTATCTCGAATATTCAAACTATATTAGATGAGTCATTTTAATCTACTGTTGAATAATTAGCGTTACGAAAAAACATTTGATCGATTTCATGGCTTAATTATTTTATCACAACTTCGAAAGGTTATGGTGGTGCAACCATACATGCGGCAAAGTGGATGGTTTTAGTGGTGACGGGTTATTTGTTATTGTTATTTATTATATAATAATATATATTTCTTACTTTTAAAAAGTTTCAAAATATAAGAAATATTTTAAAAAATTAAAAATCAATTATTATAAATGTTTGTAATTTTTTGAAAGGTAAATACTATAATTTTTTAAAGTTTATTAAACGTTAAAAATATTTATAATTTTATAATAATTAAGAATATATATATTATGGAAACTATTTGAAAGCAAACTTTTAAATTGATTTGAATTTCTCTTTTAAATAAAAGTATTATTGTCTTTTAAATAAAAGTATTATTAAAACAAAAAACAACAAAATGATGTTTAACTTCACGAGACGGGGTTAGATGGTAGGACGTGTTTGGGTCGATATTAATATGAGATGATATAATACAGGTGATATCCTAGATATAACCCTTGGTAAACCAATGGGTCAATGGGGCTTCCACACCAAATCAATCTAATACAACATTATATCCAAATAGTAATAAAAATCGTATACTATTATCTGGCATCACTTGTAAACTATATTATTATACTATTTTATCATATTATATCTTCAAACAAATTATATAATTTGATTCATTCAAAATATTTAATCCCGTGCTGTATAGCACGGGTCATGATCTAGTTACATATAAATATCAGAGACTCGGAGTAATCAGAAGGAAGTTTTTTGCGAAAGTGATAGTTTAACGGTTAATCATACAGGGACCAAGAGTACTCATTTTTCTGATTATTTATTGGGTTCAGACTATTTTATGTGTTGGAGAATGAAGCATGTCACGTTTAATGATAAAATACTGATTACAAATTAAACAAAAAAAAGAAGGATAACAACGACAATAATACAGAAGAAATGACGGAGTTCAAAAGAAATAATTATAGGGATTGATTGGGGATGAAGCTACGTAGATGTACGTGTGGCTTTCCCTCAGTGTCGCGAAACCGACATCAAACCAAATGGCAAGACACTAGATTGACTTTTTGTTCAACGTGTTTGGTTGTTGATGAGGATTCCTCTAATTAAGAGGTTGCGTGTTGGTGCGTTCCCACTACACCCACACGAGCTTTACATTTTCTTTTCTTTATGTTCTTTTTTGGTTTTGTGTCATTTTGTGTCAACAATAGTGAACAAAGCGTAGCATTGGAGAAAACATTCTAATAGATGTTTAACGTGTGTTTTTATATATCGTATAAAGAAGTTGATCTAATCCAATTTTCTGATATTCATTTTCAATGAGTATGTTTTCCGGTTGGATTTTGCACTATCTTGGTAGGACTTAAGAATAAATCTTTGATTAATCGTGGTTTGAATTCTTCTTGTTTGTGACTTGTATAGGACATATAGATCTGAAATTGGGCTCATTTGCTTCATAGTAAAAAACTCGAATTGGGCTTTCTTCAAAGTGTGTGCTACGGATTAAATGACTCATAGGTCAAAATGGGCTGAGACCAAAATTTTGGTTTAACTGGCAGAAGGCAATAATTGGGTTTATGGGGGTCATCAAAAGAAACGTTAAAACTGTAAAACGGGAAAAGTAAAACTGTAAAGGCGTCTACAAAGCTTTTCTGGTTTTCGTTTTCCCTAAAACAAGAAAGCAAAAGAAAAGCAAAGGAGAAGAGAAAATGGTGAACTATGTGCTCAAAATCACCGCTGATCTCGAGAATCTGACTAATCTCCAGCCTTCAGGTGGCTGCGACGATTCCAACTTCCCTTACCTCTTCAAGGTTCCCCTCCCTTTTCGCACCTGTTTTATGCTTCGGTTCCTTCTCTTTTGATTTCCCTGGTTTCGTTTTAGCTGGGTACGATTGATTGGACTAGAATTCTTCATTAGCTAGGTTCATGTCGAGGAATATACAGGATTTAGTAAAGCTTCTTAGGGTTTTAATTTCGCCTTGTGAATCAGATTTCTATGGAATTTAGTCTGTATCACATTAAGTGACTTTCTAGGGTTGTGAGAAACAAAACTTCTTAGGGCTTTTTGTTTCTGCAACCGTTCAAGATCAAATATAATGCCCCATGTTACTGGATAGTGGATACTTAGTAAGTTAGTACATGAGCGATGAATCATGCTTGCTTGTTTGTGTATGCAGAAACAAGTCATTTATATTCTCCTTCGTATTAACATATTTCTTTTCTTGGTATTAGTTGAAATGTGAAAGATGCGGAGAGGTGACTCCGAAAGAAACATGTGTTACTTTGAATGAGACTTTTACTCCTCCGGGAGGTAGGGGTACTTGTCATCTTGTACAGAAGGTGATTTCTTGATTCTTGCTCTTTCGTGATCTCTTCATAATATTGTATATTTGAGAACATTCTTTGTGCCTTTGGTCTCCAAAGAAAAAGTTAATGTTGAAATTCCAGAAAGCAAATATTGGCTGTGGTTTGGTAGCAAAATCTCATGGTTTTCGGGTTTTGAACTTTGTCTTAGCATATCCCTAAGTTGCATTTTGGATGATCCATTCTTATAGCATATTGAATCCCATGATCTTTGGCTTTAATTTGATGGTTTGCCTCCATGAGTTTCTAGTGTAAGTTCTGTGGAAGGGAAGGGAATGTGACTATGATTCCGGGCAAAGGTCGACCTTTAACTCTGGAAGATTCTGAGGCTGGAGAACATGCTCCTCTTATGGTGTTTGACTGTCGGGGATATGAACCCATCGATTTCGGCTTTGGTGGATATTGGAAAGCTGAAGCTGTAAGTTGTACCAGTCTCACTTAGTTTTCTGATTCCCTACAACAACTGTCTGGTCAAAGAACTCCAAGCTTCGTTTCCTGTAGTCTTTGATGCTCAATACTACTTTAAGCTCTCATGAATTGAGTTATTTGGCCTTAACAGGGATCTGGAACTAAATTTGATGACATTGATTTGTCAAGCGGGGAGGAATTCACAGAGTATGATGAGAAGGGAGAATGCCCAGTAATGATTTCGAACTTCCGTGCAAGCTTCAGCGTCACCAAGTAGAATTGGTGCCTGTTGTCTATTTTCTGATTCTCGCCATACTTGGTGTATGTAAAAACCATGGGATGATCATTTCTCAAGTTCTAATAAAATTCTCTTTTACTATTTTCTTCTGCTGTTTCTGCTACAAAAGGTAAACCATCCATAAGATTGACAACTCCCAAGTTTACATATAATATGCTTTGCAGAAATGAAAGATCTTTACGGCTTAGAACCAAGAGTTGAACACTATGGATGTATGGTTGATATCTTGAGCCGTGCTGGTCGTTTTAAAGAAGCAGAGAGATGGGTAAAGACTGCCAGTACAACCCAATGCTAATGTATTGGGTGCATGTTATATGGTTGTGAGATACATGAAAATCTCGATCTCGCTGATCAGATAAGATCCATGGTTGCTGAATCAGAAAAACTTGGTTGGGAATTCTATGTTCTTCTATCTACGTGGGAAGAAACCAAGCAACTTTAGTCAAACTGGAAAGCTTTGAGATGAATTACTATACTTGGGAAGAAACCAAGCAACTTTAGCAATTCATAAACTGATAAACGTATATAATAAAGAAAACCCATTAGAACTCAGCTTCTTTATAACGTATAGCACATTATAAGCATCAGAACTCTTCCTTATGGCCTCAGGCAATGAGTTCAAATCTCACCTTAAAGAATACTCTGTTCTGTTCAGTTTTCTACCATGGTCACTCAAACAATTTATCAAAGATAAATTGTTACGCAATAAGGACGATAAGGTAATTTCCTATTACCGTTGTGATCAATTTCCTTTTTTTTTGCAGTCCAGTAAGCTAAAAGGAAACAACCAAATTGTCGAAAAAAGGAAACAACAAAACTCTTAAAAAAAAAAGGAAACAGCAAAACTCTTTAAATAAAAAGGAAACAAGCGAAAATTTCCTTTGTTTTTTTGAAGAACCTTTCCTTATAAATACTCGTCTCTCTTATAAACCAAAATCATTCATTCTCCTTAATAATCTTTCTTCTTTTTCTTTTTGATACGTGTCGAACAAACTTTGCCAATGTTTGATCGCCAATCTCGTGAAACCGATGATCCATGTATAACCAATCTCTGCAACAAATTCATCTGAAAAACTTGGTTTGTTCCTTGAGAAGACGATCTCAACGGATATCGTTGCCCATCTGATCAGAACCTATCCGTAAGATTGATCGTCTCGTTTCGTAGATTGATCTCTATACTCTGTTGTGCATTCGATATCACGTGACTACTTCTATAGTCAATCCTTAATTCCACCGAAACACTTTCACCTGTGGGTTATATCTGACGGCGAGGAAGAAAGCGGGAAAAGAGGGACAGTGAAAGCGAAGAGCATGTGGCAGGTTTGAGTTTCGATGCTTGGACGGAGTCGCCGGAGGATGAGTCACCACCGTATTCAGGTTTGTTGCTTTCTCAATTTTCTCTTCTTTTTTTTTTTTTCTTTTTTTTTTTAATTTTATTAATAATGATTGTAAATAAAAATTTACATTAGCTAAATTTTAAGGGTTTTATGGGAAATAATTTTTTAAATAAATATTTTTGAACTTATTTAAAATATTAAGTATAAAAAAGATTTTTTAAAAAAAATATTTAAATTTTAAGTGTTAATTTTTTAATTACATTGAAAACCAACCGAACTTAACATCCGGTTAGTATCTCTTTAGGTCGGTTAGAGGTGTTAAGTTCAACATGTTTACACGTAATTAAAATTTTAACATTTACTTTTTAGATATTTTTCTAATTAAAAACGTTTTCAACTTTACTATCCGGTTTTATAACTAAGTTTTTAAGTATAAAAAATATGTTTTAAAAAGAAAATTTAAATTTTAAGTGTTAATTTTTTAATTACGTTGAAACCAACCGAACTTAACATCCGGTTAGTATCTCTTTAGGTCGGTTAGAGGTGTTAAGCTCAATTTGTTTACACGTAATTAAAATTTAACATTTACTTTTTAGATTTGTTTTTTAATTAAAAGCGTTTTCAACTTTAATTTCCGGTTTTATAACTAAGTTTTTAAGTATAGAAAATATTTTTTAAAAAGAAAATTTAAATTTTAAGTGTTAATTTTTTAATTACGTTGAAACCAACCGAACTTAACATCCGGTTAGTATCTCTTTAGGTCGGTTAGAGGTGTTAAGCTCAACTTGTTTACACGTAATTAAAATTTAACATTTACTTTTTAGATTTTTTTTTTAATTAAAAGCGTTTTCAACTTTAATTTCCGGTTTTATAACTAAGTTTTTAAGTATAAAAAATATTTTTTAAAAAGAAAATTTAAATTTTAAGTGTTAATTTTTTAATTACGTTGAAACCAACCGAACTTAACATCCGGTTAGTATCTCTTTAAGTCGGTTAGAGGTGTTAAGCTCAACTTGTTTACACGTAATTAAAATTTAACATTTACTTTTTAGATTTTTTTTTAATTAAAAGCGTTTTCAACTTTAATTTCCGGTTTTATAACTAAGTTTTTAAGTATAAAAAATATTTTTTAAAAAGAAGATTTAAATTTTTAGTGTTAATTTTTTAATTACGTTGAAAACCAACCAAACTTAACATCCGGTTAGAATCTCTTTAGGTCGGTTAAAGGTGTTAAGTTTCAATCTGTTTACACATAATTAAAATTTAACATTTATTTTAAGATTTTCTTTTTAATTAAAAACGTTTCAATTTTAGTTTCCGGTATTTAAAATAAAATATTTTGAGCTTATCTAAAATTTTGAAGTGTAAAAAATATTTATTTAAAAGAAGATTTAAATTTAAATGTTAATTTTCAATTACGTGAAAACCAACCAAATTTGATGATATTGATTTGTCCAGCGGGGAGGAATTCACAGAGTATGATGAGATGGGAGAATGCCCAGTAATGATAATGTAAAAACCATGAGATGATCATTTCTCAAGTTCTAATAAAATTCTCTTTTACTATCTTCTTCTGCTGTTTCTGCTATAAAAAAAGAACCATCCATAAGATTGACAACTCCCAAATTTACATGTAATATACATTCAACTTTAGTTTCTACAAGCATTTGTACATAGCAAATACATATTATACACTGCAGCGGGGAAATGATAGTGAGATATACAGGGAGAATAATGATTTAATCATTACAAATGGAAATAGGAATATTTGGGGATTTGGTAGTATAAACAAATGCGAAGAGGGTTTAGGGTTTCTATGCACTGAATCCACGGTGAAGCGAGCTCCAAGGACCAGGTGGGATTGAGGTACAAGCCTGTGAAGCTGCCTCCTCCATTTGCTCAGTTCGGATCCCTGCGTTGCAAATGTTTGCAAAGGACCTCATGTGCTTGATACCGTACTGAGACAGCGATCCACAGTGCCTCTCGAAAGCTCTCACCTGAACATACAATGAAGATTATCAGTTCTTCTCTATATGAAACTTCAATCAATGAGTTTATAATTTGAAACTTCCTAAACATAGGATAAGAGTAAATAGAGTCCTGCGTCAAAATCAGTATGGCCCAGATTTATGATGTGATTTCTACAGAATATCCAGTTGCAACGCAAGTATCTTGACTTCTCTGGGGCCTGGCTAATAATAGAGTGCTGGGCTCCACAATCTCTATGAGATTTTTTTCATCTTACATTATGATCGATGTTATCCCATGACTAAACCAATACGTTTTTCAATACAAACCATAAGGGCTGATGATAAGATTGACACAACAAAGTCTTAAGGGGCAAGTGACGTATTAATTTACCAGATTTTTAAGGCAGTTCCAGTCATCGACTAGCGGTTGCCCAGCAGACCGTACTTTGTTTAGCACTTCAGGACCTTCCGAAATGCCAAACAAGATTTTTCCAACGAGTATAACGCTATTGTCAACATGAAGTCTGTGAGACATGGCTTCAAGTACTTGCTTCTGAGCTTCTGTTTTCCTGGCGGAACCTTCTGGTGCTTTTCGGTACTTCATGAAAACAATAACATGCAAACGAAATTGTATTTAGCAGTCCAAGTGAGTATCCAAAAGATGCAAACAAGAAAGGAAAATAACCTTTTCCCAAAAATGGACAAGATCTGCATCACGCTGGTTTGTAACTCTTGAAGGTGGCTTCAGTGAATTGGCATCCGCAAATGTGAAATTGTCATTGGCAGGGTTTGTTCCCATATAAAGATCGAGATTATCCTTGCTAAGTCCTACATCGCCATATTGCATGACATGAGAACCATAAGAGTACCCAACAGGTGCAGTCCTCCTTTTCACCTGAAAACACAAACATACTTATGATGCACATATTTGCTAACAATCTAATTTACAGTTAAGAATGTTTTTGCTCCATCGTTACAGGCTTTCCATAGAAACTAGAAACTTACAAGTTCATATTGCTGGTGCAGAGTCTCAGTCTGTAAATTGTGCATACCACTGTTGCATTTCAAACAAATCAGAATCAATATTATGGGAAATCCATAGAGATTCATAAACATGAGAAGTAGAACACTGCAACTCCTATTAGCGTATCAGGATTCTTTAGCTTACCTATCTTCCATCCAAGCAACACTGTACAAGTCACCTAAACAAGTTTCATACTCCGGTGGAGGACTAGGTTCCTCTCCAGGGCAATAGGTACCCCAACTGCTTTCTTCGGCGTTTGATGCAGTTGTGGCATAGATGTTCAAACCCTCTGGAAGAAGCCCTTCAAAGATACTTCCAGATTCACAAGCTTCGAGATAAAACACCTGCAGGTTTGCCTTTTAGTATCATTACTCATAGGCAGTACCAACGAAAAAAGGAACCTTAGCGATTTACCAAGCTTTTGTAGGTTCCTGAAGCATGTTTTTTCTTTAAGACATCATTGAGATCATTTGCATATAGGTAAGGAGAAGTCGGCATCCCTGCAAACAAAAAAGACAAAGAACCATCAATTTTTTTTGGTCCAAAACCATTTAATTTATGGGTTTTACGGAACTCACCGAGAACTCCAGGACCACCATGGTCACTGTAGAATATGAAGATATGATCATTAGGACCACTATCCACAACCTTTCCACTTCCCCCTTTAACAGCAGTTTTGTCTCCAAGGATCACAGCAAATAGATTATCAACATTAACATCATCTCCAGTATAATCCTGCCATACGAAAAATAATCCCAACCACTTAAGTAAAGCCATCACAAACCCGAAAACGTACGTAAGAAAGCAAAAGACCTTGGGAACTCCTTGATAGACATCCTTCCCATGAGGGCTGTTGATAAGGGTTCCAGGCCTTGGATTCTCGTAATTGTTAGCAATATCATCATACATGAATACCACAATATTCTCCTCTTTCAGTCCACCTTTCCTCAGAAGTTGATAAGCATGGCATATATCAGCCTGAATAGTTAGCAAACTCATTAGTATCTAAAACAAACACCAAACATAGCAATCGGAGGCAATCCTATCAAATCACAACGCAACTTAGTATCTAGAATCACACCAAACACCACATAGCAGCACTCGGAGGCAAAATTCAAAAATTTCCGATTGGAGAAAAAAGAGTTTATTTAGACTGGTCGTAACAGTACCTGATGCCTGTAATTCCAATATCCGCTAGATCCGGCGACTAGAACAGCCCACCTAGTACCGGCGTTAGAATCGTCGTCGTCTTGAGCAGGACGGAAGAACCGAGAAGCCTGCGACGGTAGTTTGATAACATCATCAGGACCGCTTCTCGCGGTGGAGACGGCAACCAGCGAGACTAAGAGAACAAGAAGGAAGGCGCCGACGGGGACACGTGTCATCGTTGTGGCCATTAGCCGGCGAGTGTTGATGATGTTGATAGGAATCTTTTTTTATCGCCGGGCAGACTATTAAATAAAATTGAATCTTTTATCTGATTGGAGAACACATACGTTGTCGTTGTTTATATAATGAACACGCAAAGCTAGCTAAAATTGGATATTTACTTATTTAGTTTTATAAATGGATATATTTGCACATTTAGACATATTTTGAAAATTCTATTGCGTGATGATACTTCCTTTTGTGACATTGGCTCGCGAGTTATTTATGTTTTGTAAGGACTTTTGTCGAAAAAATGGACATGTTTTCAATTTAAAACACATTATTGAATTCTGTCATTTGTTTCACAAATCACTCATGAGTTAAAAGAGACTAGTATCTGAATAGAAAAGAAAAACATGAGAGAATCATGCGAAAGGAGAAAAATAAGCACTATTTCCTCTCCAGTGATCATGCCAAGTGTGTTTAACTTGAACTATAAGATGATTTAGTTTTGAAACTAAATTAATCTATAATTCGGGTTTTTGGACTGACTATTTTAGATGGGATCAATTTGTTTTCGGATTAAACACTCCTATAAAATATAAGAGAATAATTTATCCCAAATTTTATATAATCGAAAACTGAATATTCTCTTAAAGACTCTTAGTCAGAGATGGAATGCCAAAATTTGTGGCCTTGTGGGGCAACAAGATAGAATCTTTTCCTTTCAGTCTATATAGCAATTAGCAACTTAATTACGTAAAAATTATTTGTTTTGGATTATTCGGCAAAATATCTACTTTTGTTTCTTTCTGCCTCTTGTTTTCTTCAACTCACTTAATTCTGATAGTCTAAGCAATCAAACTTCTATTATCATGAGTATATTACCAATAAATACGTCATTGAATAATTTGGTTATAAACTATTGGTCAAAATCAATACTATCATTTTGTTATATGTTATTATCATTTATCAAATTTCTATAGCAATTACAGAATCAATTTGAACTAGTCCGAGCCAGTCCAATAATTATACATAGATTCCCACGACATGTGTCCAAAATGTCATAATTCATGGTTGCTTTTATCCCACGACACACACCATTCCTAATTAAATTCTATCATTCTTTTTTTATTTTTTTATTTTTTTTTCTCTAATTAATCAGCCGACTTAAGATACAACGGTATATATATATATATAGAGTCACGATCACTCAATAGGCAGAACACAAAAGTCTTGTGTGAGCTGTCGTGTCATGATTCTTTGATTTGAGCAAGTGGGTTTTGTTCATATTTGTGGCTGTGGCCTCTTGTTGTTGAGAGGGAGACACACGACAGAGATATCATCAACCTTAACCGTTGGATATTTCTGGATCCACGCATTAGTCGCCGCCTCTGCCACCGCGTTGGCCGCTCCTGCCTCACTTTCTGACTTCATCACCACCGTTGCCACTTCTTCGTTACTAAGTACATCCCACACCTTTATATGCACCACAAGAAACGAGAGATATTTATTAATTACGTGGGTCATTCAAATGAATAGATTGATTTTAAAACTAATGGGCTTTACTTTGGATTTGGTCGTATTATAATATTTGGATCCAAGTTGATTAATAAAATAACTAAGGAAAGCCTTAAATGGTTGGGCCACAATAGAACATGGATTTTGGTTCGGTTTTTAATCAATAGTAACCAAAATACAAAAGCATGGTCTCATATAATAAAGTATGGTTTGGCTTTGGCACGTTTTTAGTTTAGGTTTAAGTTTACGTACCCCATCAGAAGCAAGCAGTAGAAATTGGTCGCTGGAAGTGATTTGATGCGTAGAGACTTGTGGAATCGCAATGACACCGTAGCTTTTAAGGAGGAAATCACCAAAAGCCCGCGACATGGCTAGGCCTGGTCGGTTTTCGGTTGGAAGCCAAACTCTTAGAAGGTGAGGTTCCGACTCTAAAGCCAATACCCTTCCGTTTCGTTTCTTTATTCTCTCCGCTTCGCCTGCAAATTCAATCAACCCAAAAAATGCTTAACCATAATGAAACCGGTACGTATTATTGCTTGTTTACAACATCACTTTTGTCCATAGCTTCAAGAACTTACTTGGGACACTTGGCTTCAGGTCATTGGTCAACTGAACCACCTTGGTTTCTCCATTCTCACTTGTTCCAATCATCACAGCCCTTGAATCTCCAAGATTTGCCACCATCACTTGGTTTCCCTGTTCAAATATTGTTGTTAAGTTGTTATCATCAATACAAAAAAATGAAGAATCTATATTTCATTGTAAATTTGAAACGTTGACATACCAATAGACACTCAATTAAATTACAATGAAAAAAAGTTGATCATCTTACAATTTTTTTTTGAAAAATAAAACATCACATAAATATGAAGCGGTAAAAAAGCATCAAAGATATTAATAACTTACATGTTTAACGGCGAGAACAGCAGTAGTTCCAGAAGAAGAGCAATCATGAATCTTTTTAACTTTAAGAATTCTTTTGTCCATCTCCAAACACGATGTTTCGCAAATGAGTTTCCAATCTCGAGTCACTGAATGATTATTCATATGACTTAATAGTATAGATGGCAATTGGTTCCTTACGATCTTGCTTACGAATTCACCTCTCGGTCCATGCCCATCAAACACTCCACATAACGCTCCTTCTTGTGTTCCATATCCCTAAAAATTTATCATTTCATTTCGTTAAAAACAAATTAGTTGTTTTGAAGACAAACATATATTTATATAGTTTTTCAAAAGTATAAGTACCAGGTGGAGAATGGCAGCATCTTGGTTCAAGCCCTTGCCTCCGGCTAAAGAAGAGACAGAGCCAAAGTCTTGAGGAACATCAGAGTATAAAACTGCATTTTCTTGTCCATAATCAGTTATCTCATAAATCTGATTTCGATCTGTTGATCCTCCTGATGATAAACACAAACAAAATCCCATTTTTCTTCTCTTAGATCTTTTGTGTTTTGCCTTTTTTTTTTTTTTTTTTTTTTTTTTTTGTATATATATGTAAAGAGGAGAGATGATAAAAACAAATGAATGAGTTTGATGATACACGACTTTGCTTATTGCTTATACCCAGATATATAGCTCTTTGTGAATCTTATTTAGGAATATATATATTATTACATACTTCTTATTTTATAGTATGGATTAATATATATACTTATTCATCTCGATGACTTGTATCTTCAGGCATTTTAGGAAGAATAATTTTTAATTTCCAGGCGGTCGATCAATATTCTATTATTGATAACATGTTTTTGAATATTCTGGCAGATATATTTGATTAACCGCCAGAATAAATAATTATAAATGAATCGTTTTTCCACCAGTTAGAATTAAAGAATAGGTACTAATGAGAAACCCAGTTATTTGACATACTCCAGTAAATTAAGAAATTAACATAGCTTGTGTAGTTGTAAGGCTGGCTCCTGGTGGCAGTGACAACGTATAGCAATTTACAATTAATATAGTTGAAAAAGTTATCTGGAACATCCCAAGATTCAATTGAAAGGGCACATGACGTGGTGTGATAGGTATCTTGTTTAAACTACTAAACTACTAATTGATTTATTCGAGAATATTAATAAGATTTCGATTTCGAGTCATTGCCAACAAGATTAGACGCACCAAATATTTAATTAATTATAGAAACATTCATTCATCCACATATGTGACCAAAGGAAAGCTTGCTAACTATGTATGTAAATTTATCAAAAAAAAAAAAAGAGAATTGAAGAAATGGAGTTTAACCTAAAGAAGATGACAGATCGATCTATTAGTATGCGTTCTTAATTATTGAACAATATGATCTTTAGGAAAGTCTTGAGTACATTGAACAAAAAAAAAAAAAAAACCTTCTTTTGTTTTTGATTTTATGTAGTGGTTTTATCTTTCATAGAGTTTATTTCTGAAGAAGTATGCTCTGTGTATGAAATTAAGTTTTGATTCGGTTTTTAATTTGACAATACACTATGTTGGGTGGGACAACAAGGTACATAACACAAAACCATAGTTAGTTTGCTCAGATAACTTTTTTTTTTTAAGGTTCTAATTATTAACTAGCACTTACATAAAATTTACAGAAAATACTTCCTCTTGCATTAATATAGTTTTACAAAAAATGCCATGTTTTATGTTGCATAATATACTTTTACAATTATTAAATAAATTAAGATAATATTTATTTCCTCTGAACTTTTGTAAACGAAAAGAGTATTAATAAACAAATGTGACGTATGTGCTCTGTAATTACTAATTAAGCCAGCTTTTCCTGACCTTTTGGACATATCAAACGATACAACAACAGGGTCAACTCTGACATCCTTTTTATCAATAATTTTCTATACTTTTTTAAAAAATATTAATGACCTAGTTGGCCTTTTATTCAGAAATACAGAAATATGTACTACATACAGTATATTGTGACTACACGTTATTTTGAAAAGAAATGTATTGATATTTTAGTTTTAATTTTTTCTAAATTAGATGTGAACTCATTTACCCACTCTTATTACTCCTTCCGTTTCGTTTTAGTTGTCGTTTTAGTACTTAAATTTTATTTCGTAATAGTTGTCGTTTTAGGTTTTCAATGCAAATGTATTTGGTAAAAATTCCAGTATTATCCCTATTATTTTAATGTTTTGGCCAATGAAAAAATTTATAGGATATATTAATAAAGGGTAAAACAGAAAATTTATTATTTTTCTTAATTTGTGTGAAAAAACCTTAAACGACAACTAAAACGAAACGGAGGGAATATTATATAGCTTTGGATATTTTTAAAGTTAAAGACTAATTATCATTGTTCATTTGTAAGATTAATAGTTAATAATTATCAAAAAAAAAAAAGATTAATAGTTAATACCGTCTATTTTAACCGATGGTACCATATATATCGTCGCCAGAAAATAAACTAGTTGACTAAAATATTTTGTTCGTGAGATGTAAAAGTCAAACAATTCGACATTAATTTTAAAATTTGTTTTATTCTCATAGACTACCCCGCTCCTCAATTAGAAAGGCACATGATGTGTCATCTTGTAGGATTCCAATCTTTGATTAAATAGATTCTTAATTTAATAATTTAGTCAAACGTTATTAAAAAATCATTTTCATATTATTCTCGTAAAGTTAGGCCGTACAAAAGGATCTAATATATATAGATGGATATCGTGAGAGAACGAATGCCGTACATGTTGTTGGCATCGTCATCTTTAACCCAAATGCATGGCAACATGCATTCTTTTGATTTTAATGTTTTGATAAAATTTTAGGTTATCCTAAAGTCGTGGTGACATGGTCTATTTAGCTAGTATAGAGGACATTTACGAACCAGAATGTTGCTCTAGATATAAGGATAAACTCGAAAGGAGACGAAACTAAGCATGCATATGTTTTCATGATTTCGTATTAACGTCAACCATGAAGAGCTTTCTTTGGATAAGCCAATGGATTTTTGGTGAAATCAATCCGTCCTTGGATCGGAGATTGTAATTAACATCCCAGTCCCCAAAGAAACGATAAGGCAATCACTTTTTTAAACACTGAATATTCAAAGTATATGTCAACCTAAACATCAAAAAGATAAAAAAACTGATTAGAAGCTCTACATCGAAGTACAATGATACAAACATCAAGTGGCGTTAACAAGAAGCCTATCGGAAATATGTCAGCAGCCACTTGCTTAAACTTCTGTGGCAACCATATATCACTCGCAGGTAAAATTGTTTTTGGCCTAAACTAGATAGATTAAACACATTAATTTACGGTTTTGTTCTAAATTTAAAAATTGTCAGCATATGTCATACTGACATGAGACGGCAGAATACCAATAATTATTGTTTTGTGAAATATAGTATATATTTTTCAAACAAGTTGATTAATGTCTTGACTTTGCAACACTGATATGTCATAGTATTTCTTAGCTTCTCGTTCTCATAGCCACACATTTCCATAAACTAAGATATCCATGTAACGAAACAATTAACTGCGAGAAAATATATTATATGAATAATTTAACAAAAGTCTATTGAAAAACGAAAAACAAAAAGAGAAAAGAGAAAATAATTTATATACGTTGGCCGATCGGGCACACAATGACGTGTTGTAGTACACTGCATTATCTATGTTATAATTGATTCATATGAAGAGTTTGCTGATATGCTTATCGGGATAAAAGATAAGAGTAGTAACATTATTCAATTTATTTAGATCATATTCGACATATATAATTCATCACCTATAGCTGAAACATTATTAGAGCCCTTGAGGAGTTGATGAGGTATTTTCCGTTAAATAAGAAAATTATTTGGACATTTGAGTTTCTTACTTATGGATCTAGAACAAGTTGTCACTAGTTTTGAGTATTTTTTTCACATGCGAAACTTACAACCATGTCATGACCAAAAGATACATAAAAAAAAAAAAAAAGTGTTTTCATTAGTTTATGATCTGAATGTTGTTCCCATTGTGATGATCTAGAGCATTTGCCGCCTCAGTCACAGGCACCTTCTTTGCAAGAGACCTGGGGATGTCAAGATCATCTTGAGCACATCTTTGTTGAGGATGAGATAACAACAGTGACATGGGCTTAAAAACAGACCGTGCAAGCCCTTGACCGCTCTCAAATATGTAACCTTCATACTCTGAAACATGTTCTACTGCATCGACAAGAGAGTCATACACATCTTGAGGACAATTGTCAGGACTTGGCTTGTCGTGCAGGTACAGAACATCCAACGTGAAGAGCTTCTGGTTTAAGGGCCACTCATGGGTTGGTCTCATAGATGACCTGCAGTATATGAGAATCTGCAGGGTGACATAAACAAAATCAGTAAAACAGCTCTTATTTTTCAGGCTAGAGGAGACTGTATTTGCACAAAATAAAACTTACCACCCTGAAAATTCGGTTCTGTGCTCTGGAAATTTTGGCTTCCTGAGCCGCTGCTCGGAAGAGAAGTGTAAGATCCGCTCGACTAGAGGATTTATTACCTGACAATCCCCTAAGGGAAGCAACAGCAGATTCAGCATCGCTGGTGAACTCCTTTTTAAGCTGAAACATTTAAATGAAAGAGAGAGAGGAACAAAAGAAAAGTTACATTGACATTCTTTCCCAGACAACATTCATTATTGGAGCGCATAAAATGTGATTCTCTCAAGACGACATTTAGAGGCTACAAACTGTAACATGAATACCATTATCAGGTGAAAAAACAATCGAGTTTCATATCAGGTAAAGAAAGAATGTTCACCAAAACATTAAACATGCATCAATGAAAAACCAGGTTTAAGACTAAGGATTCAAAAATATGTCCCCACAATCGCAAATTAGAATCTAGTTGTGAAGAAACGAAGGTTTGGTTAACTTTGAAGAGAGTAACTAAGGGAAGCAAAATCAATTCACTCACAAGACAAGCAAATGCAAATATCGTGTTAAACATCTAACAAATTTCTCCTATAAACATCAAAATTGAGGAGCATACACAAAATCAAAAGAAACCCCCAAATTGAAGAGAAAGTAATAATATACCCAAGCGGCAGATTTGGCGAGAGTAGCGAAAGCAAAACGATGATCAGGATTAATGGAGAGCTTATTGTGGATGAAGAGAATAATGGCTTGCTTGACGCACTCCATCCTGATCAAAGGTCTACCATTTGTTCCAGTGGTCTTCATCTCCACCATCGATTCCGCGTCTACATCGATGCAGATGAGTATGTCTTCGCTTTTTATACGCCCCGGTTTAAGCGCGTATCGAGTCGCTCCTACTCCGGTCACGGCCACTCTGTCTTCCTCCATTCGCCGTCGATGTTCCTCAGATTGTCAGATTTCTTTCTCCTTCTCTCTTCTCTAGTTGTTCGTTCGTCCGGGTTGACCAAAACGATGCGTTTTGGTGCTTCACCTAAGACGATCAGGATTTTTACATTTTAAAAAAATGATTACGTCAGCAACCAATTCATGGAAAGACATTGTAAATTAGCAAGTTCGCTATAACGTCTTGATGAAGACTCAGAGATGGGTAAGAAGATATCGACTATTATCGAGAATCAGCAAAATTAGCCTCGAATTGTTCAATGATGGAGTTTGTATTTTCCAAGGGTTAGTTTGTGACTTGCGTTGCTCTGTTGTATCAGCAATTGGGCTACTTCCAACTTTGTTAAATCATCAAAAGTGGTGCCTATAAGAAGCAACGGCCTTTCGATGCTATTGCTTTTGGCTTGACATTCCCAAAATCAACTGTCTTTAGACTTGAACGAGAGAGATCATGCTATATAAAAAAAGACCTCTCTCTGGTTGTCAACTACTTAACTCCTTCGTCCAACTAGTTCCGGTTACCAAATAAAAAAAAAAAGGAAAAAAAAAAGAGGAGAGGTTGCAATTCACTTCATGATCTTCAGTTGAGTATTTTGTTGATTCCCGATATCTTCTCCCCTATTTGTTTCAACATCACATTATCAGAGAGACCTATAACCAAAATAAAACACAAAAGCATTCAGCATTTGTATCACATACCTAACACGTCAATTTCCAGGAGTGAAGCTTCTAGAATGTCTTCCTTTTCCTCAATCTCAGAGCGGAACAGTCGTACAATGCTCAAAGTATCTACAATGCTCTGTTCCTTTCTCTCCAGCTCACAGCGAAACTGTCTTACACTGGCTACAGTGTCTAAAATGCTCTGTTTCACCTTAGCCAGCTGTTGTGTGACAGAGCAAGGTTCAGGGAGGTTCTTGCGCTGCGAGTCTCCGGGCTCAGCACTGGATTTTTGAGAACGGCAAGAGGGTTCTCCTTCTGCAGCTTTCTTCTCCATCTCGCCATCAGCTTTACCAAGGCTGGAACTTTCGACTCGCGCTCGCTTGTGTGTCTGAGTCTCAGTTTCTGCAAGATCCTCTTCTTCAGCCACTGGTTGTTGAACCATCTCAAGGATTTTCCTTTCCTGAGTCTTTACTCCTCCTTCAGCCACTGTTTCATGTCGTGGGGACAAATCCTTACGTCCATTCTCATTCATAGAAGAAATAGCTGGATTGACGGATGAATCATGAGGACAAAAACTTAATGAATGCTCCAGGTTCAGTTTCCTCTCAGGTACAAAAGTTAGCTCAGGGGTAGAAACTTCTGCTGCTTTCTGTTGTTCCTGCTGATCGGAAAATAAGTTTACAGTTAGCAATCTACTTCCAACATAAGCAAGGAAGACATTCATCTTCTTTTTACAAATGACGAATTTCAGTGTTTCAATGCTGGTTTCAGGAAGGAAGAAGCATGCCTTTACTGCCGCTTCCCTTGGGCCTTGACGGTCCTGCAGAAGACACAAATTTCTAGAACCATGAGAGAGCCAATGAAACTAGACGACTCGCATAACCATTGGTACTCAAAAACCATCTATATCTGTATGATGCAAGTATATTATCTACAAACAATAAGGTAGTTTGATACAGTACACTAGTACAGGTGAGAGAGCTTACTTCTTTTTCATTAGCAACAACTTCTTCCTGCTTTAAAGCATCAAATGCTCCTTCACATATCGAATCCACTACATCACTGTGCTTATCCAAGGGGACGCTCGACGATTTCACTGCTTCTGTCAGATACTTTTTGAGCTGGCTAGCACAGCTACTGAGAACTTGTTCTGCCTGCCTCCTTGATATTTGGGGAACCTGAGGAAAAAAAGTGGAAAGATTCAAACAAAAGAGATTGGTTGCTGGAAAAAAAAAAAAAAGGAAAGAACCTCTCCATGTATGACCTCGTCATCCTTTTTAACATAAAGTGGAAATGGTGAAAGCATCTTTGATTGCTTATTAACTGACTGTTCCTTGCTTGTCTTAGCTTTCTTCTTCTGGGGCCTGGCATGGAGAAAAGGTAGCTATTCCAGTGTCATCACAAGAACATTGAGTTTATCTCATAAACAACAATTCACGTCTAGCTATTCCAGCAACACAAAAACACCGGAACTGGAGAAGAAATGCTTACATTGTGGAAGCTTCTTCAACACATCCCGTTTGATTAGCTTCTTTATCCTGCTGGCAGAAAATGTGGAAGCATAAAACAATCTGGAGAATGAAAGAAAACAGAAAACCCAGAGATGAGAGATATAAATTCCCCACCTTTGGCAATTTTGATTCATTCACAAAATACCACTTTTCTTTTCTCATATTCAAGATTTCTTCATCTCCATCAATATAGCGAACCTGAAAACGACACAGCAGCAGCAGCATATAACAAACATAAAATACTATAAATGACCTGGATCAAATTAAACAAATATGTATCACTTAGGAGAATATGCTAATGATACACAATAAACCATCAAAATAGTTATGTAGGAGACTGATATAAAAATTGGCTTTACCCGATGTCTCGCTTTAGCAGAATAATATGAAATGACCACAGCTTCATAATACCTGTGGTAAAAATCCAATACTCATTTACAGGCGTGGTCGACAGAAATGCAACCATCCGAGGTGCTAGTCCAGATTCAGCTATTAAAGGAAAATACATAGCACAGAAATAATAAATAAATTAAAGTAGTATATTAAAGAACAAAATACAAAATGCTTACGCGCGATCCAAAGGCCACCAGATTTTAACCCTCGACCCAACTAAATTTTCATCATAGTTTTTGAGATCAGATGCCTGTCAAGGAATTGATTCAGCATGAGTCTACAAATTTTTGTTTGTATTTTTTACTCGTCTAGAGCAAATGAAACTAGTATGGATAAAAGATAAAACAATGGATGTTCAAGAAAAAAATATCTACAATATGAAGAGAATAAGAAACTGAAACCATGAATAGTTATTCCTGCAATTCGCAATTGGTAAACCATGGTTTTTCACAGTCTTTTATATGAGCAACAGTTATAATACGTGAAAGGAACAAAAACATACGTTCTCTTTGCCTAGGCTGTGTACTCTCTTTGTGTTTGTATTAGAAGTTTTTTCTAACGGTTGCTTTGCTCCTTTCTTTGAACCCGAGGTTGACTGATCACAGGAAACAGCTGGCTGAAACAAAATCAAAGAATATCTGTAACAGCACAAGAAGAGAAAAGTCATATAAGCATTTGCCAACTTAGCCGCAGTCACCTTCTTTGCAGAGGGCTTGGGGAGATCAACTTGAGCACATCTTTGAGGAGGATGTGATAACAACGTTGACATACGCCTGAAAACAGACTGCGCAAGCCCGTGACTGCTCTCAAAGATGTAGCCTTCATACTCCGAAACACGCTCTAAAGCATCAACAAGAGAGTCATACACATCGTGAGTACAATTATCAGGAGCTGACTTGTCGTGCAGGTACATAACATCCAATGTGAAAAGCTTCTGATTTATGGGCCAATCATGGGTTGGTCTCACGGATGACCTGCAGTATATGAGAATCTGAAGAGCAATATATAAACGAAATCAGTAAAACAGCTTCTGTTTTCAGGCTACATGTAGCTAGAGAAGGGTGTGTTTGCACAAAACAAAACTTACCACTCTCAAGATTCGGTTTTGTGCTCTGGAAGTTTTGGCTCCCTGAGCCGCTTCCTGGAACAGAAGTGTGAGATCCGCTGGACCAGAGGAATTAGTAGCTGAGATTTCCCTTAGAGAAGCAGCAGCAGATTCAGCATCACTGGTGAATTCCTTTTTTAGCTGGAACATAAAAGGCCTTAACTTTAACAGTCACACTAGTGATTCTCTCAACATATGTAGGAGCTAGAAACAATACAAGAAACTTCCATAGTCCAAAGAACATCACGAATTCCAAATTTGTCATCTAAGGAGCATGCTTACTCAAAAGCAAAAGCAACCTAACATAAAGAGAGCTGGGGGGAGAAAGTATGTATACCCAAGCAGCTGATTTGGAGAGGGTAGCGAAAGCAAAGCGGTGATCGGAATTTCTGGCAAGCTTGTCGTGAATAAAGCGAGTAATGGCTAGCTTGACGCACTCCAGTCTGTTCAGTGGCTTACCGTTAGTTCCAGTGGTCTTCATCTCCACCGTCGATTCCGCATCAACATCGACGCATATGAGTATGTCTTCGCTAGGTTCCATCGTGACTCGGGTCGCTACAGCTCCGGTCAAGACCGCTTTGTCTTCCTCCATTCGCCGTAAAAGTTCCGTCGTCAGTCGTCACACTTTCTTCCTCAGTTTAGCAAAGTGTCTTGCTTTTCTACTTTCTAAATTGTTCGTACGAAACGAAAACGCTGCGTTTTTGTTAGTTGACCGAAGATACTCGTCAAACCAACATACGACGTCGTATGCTACGTGATTTTATTCAGTTTATGGAGGACAGTCCCAAGTACGACGTCGTTTGCTCCTTTGGTAACATAAGTTTTCATGAGCTCGTTCATTTTTATGTAAAATGGTGATGAGGATGATGAAGTAGTCAAGACAAGAAGTTGTATATACAATTATAACATACGTAATGATAGTCGTACATGCTTTAGGTTTTGGGCAATAATATAGTAGCAATTGCCTAATTATCACAAGTTGGTAACACAATTGTTGTCTTATTTTTGCATTGCTTGGCTCATCATAACAGATTTTGGCATTCGAAGAGTTGCTCCGTTGGGTTGAAGGTGACTATTGTTTAGCTTCCTCTTGTTCATTTCCGCATACATCTCTTCTATCATCGGCTTCCATAGCCTAACCCGCGCATTTATAAACCAGTTTGATACCTTTAATCACACACAACAAAGAGACACTTTATCATTTGCCCGCTTTAACTTGCATGAGTAACAAAACATATGTGCGACTAAGATCTTAGGACTTGAGTAACATTATTGTGAATTCAAGAATACATAATCTAGTCTCATTTCATTCTAATTTGTAGTTCAAGGTTTCATTACCCCTAATCTCATCTTAAATAACCAATACCGGTTTTTATGACACTAGTATATGTCAAGATATTACTCATTTGAATACCAAACTTGCTATCATTGTCAGCAAAGATGTTATCAATGAGTCAATTGCATAAGAAAACAAAGATGTTATCAATGAGTCATTGCATAAGAAAACAAAGATTGTTATCAGTGAGTCATTGCATAAGAAAACAAACATGAGACAATACCTGACTTCTTGTCAAGCCACTTCGTATAGCTAGAAGATGTTTCTCCGAATCTTTCGGGTAACTGCAATCAAATAAACATAAATGTTGGCTATAAAATTAAGTTAATTATCTCATCATAAAGTAGAGTTAAGAAGAGTAAGGATTGTTACGGGTGAAGGAAGTTTTGGAACATCCAAGTCCGTAGAACCGATACAGACTTCTCAGGCAAACCTCGTTGCGGTCTCCAAATCTGATGGTTCTTTCGTTTCAGCTGCTGAAGAAGGCAATGCTGGTGGAACATAGAGTTTTCTTGAGACTTTTCTTTGCCTCTCTCCAATACAGATCCCATAGAGATTATCTTCTTGCAGATTCTCTCTCTCAGGTTCTTGTATAAGAAAGAGATGGTTTGGAGGGCAAACCGGGTGTGTAACTGCGGATCTAACTCGGTTGCAGCGTGGAATGCTGATACAACCGTATGAATCTCATCTACGCAATGACTATATCGATCATCCACCTGAAGAGAAAGATCAACTCATAAAACTTCATCAAATCAAACCATTTTTTAACTTATGTAAAAAGGTGAATGAATATATACCATTTGTAGAAGATCCAGGAGATGGGTTTTCTTTGCTTCTAATGCTCTTCTTTGAAATGTAGATCCGAAAACCGCCTCCGAGTTATTAGAATCGCTATCAAGAAACTCGGTAATATTCTCAAAACGTGAAGTAAAGGCCGAACTAGCAGCCCCTGGCTCGGTTCCTCGAGATGAATAATCGAGCGAGTATGCGGCGAAATGAGATAGTATTTCTTGAACAGAGTGAAGGTACTTTGAGCCAAATATAAGTTGAGAGAAACCTTGAGTGACAACATTATTAGAAATGTCTTTGCTGCTGCAAGAAGCTTGCTCTGAGGCTAATCTAGTAGCAGCACAAATACTTATCTCCGAGCATTCATCAGAAACATCTGTGGCAAGACTCAATGAAAGCTCGTTGTTTCTTCTATTCGAAATCAGGAACGGAAAATCTTCTTCCCCGAATGTAGACATTATTGGTTCACTTGGACCAACAACACCTGAATATGTCTGAAACACACTATTTGCCTCAAAACCCCACATGTTGTTTGAGGAATCATCATAGGGCCTTAAATGATCCAAAGGATGAAGTGGAGGAGGAGGAGGAGGAGCCATGAACTCAAAGCTTTCGACATTGCGGTTATCTTGAACATCGATAGACCGTGAAGAAGATGATAAGTATTTGTTAGTCAGCATAGAATTGAAGATATCAAAGCCACCCATTTGTAGAGGATCTGATCTGATGGAGTTCCATGGAAGCATTGTTGAGAATGAAGTTGAATCTTCTCTTGAAGGAATAAAATCCATGAGAAGAGGATTTTGGTTAGTCATGGCATTATCCAGAGAACTAAAAGTGTTGTTGTTGTCCATTGGGTTTCTAAGAACCTGCATTAACAAGAAGACAAGTATTAAAGACTTAGACAAAGGATTTCAGAAGATCTGAGAAACAAAATCTTTGGAGAATAGTACTAAATGTAAAATGCTGCAAGAGGCAGAGAACATCTCACTATGTCATTAAATATTTCATTAAAATATATAAAGAACCGAAACATGAGTTAATGAAGCAGTAGCTAGGCTCAATGATACACAGACCAATAATGTTTTAAAGCTATCTGTGAAAACAGTGAACTAGTAAGTAAAAAAGAAAGCTTTAGATTACTACAAATGTCCATAGAACATAAAAAGTGTTGAACTTGCCTTTATCCTTCTTCTACTGATAGAACCTTTGGGAAGATTTCAGACAACAAAACGTTCCAAAGAGAATTTTTACACCAAAATTTCCAAAATGTGTGTTAAAAACTGAAGAAGAAGAAAATGCTTATTTCTCTTCTTTCTCCGTGAAAGAACAGTGTACTTTCATTCCGCAGCTTCTCTATGTTCCTAAAGAGAACCAAAAAGCAGAAATCAACAATAAAGTTATTAAATATAAATTAAAGAGAACAAAATAATGCAACAAAACTGAAAAAGAGAAAAGTGGGTCTGGTTAATCTCTTTTGCATGAACGCAAACAATACAAAAACTTTTACTTACTTTTATTACAATTTCATGAAGAAACCCAGAATCTTCATCATCTGCCTCACCAAAAGATTCAGAGTTCTAGATCAACAAATAGCAACATTTTATAACTAAATGATCAAACCAAAACTTTTTATTTTTGAGGGGAAAATATTTTAAAAAATTCAAGAAAGAAGAAGTTGAAAAGAAGGAGGGCCGAATCAGGTACGGAGCTCCCTCTGTTTATGACACGAATCCATTTTCATATCTTTAAGATCTTCCGACCAAAAAAATTATATTGAAAAAGATAAATCAGAATCAAGAAAATCTTATATAATTTCTTTCTTGAAATTCCATTTATTTAAAATGTTGTTCACAGAGAAAGAGATGAAGAATGTCATCTAGTATTTATCTAAAGAAATATATGGTTGAAACAGAATCCAAATCCGAAAAAGAAATCCAAAGACATGAAGAAGACCGATGTGTTACTGTTTACTACAGAGAAGTGCACTCATTTCTGTTGCAGGCTTTAAATTAGGGAAGGGACCCTACATTTTACTATTTACATGTCTCTATATATATGTATGTGTCTATAGACAAAATATAAATTTTTATAAGTAATAAGAAAATTGTGTTGTCTTCTTGTGCTGGTTTCAATTATCACAAACCAGAAAGAAGGAAAAAAGTAAACAAGGGTGAGATCTTTTTTAGCCATTTAAGGAGAATTGATGAGATGTGTGATCCATTTGGGTTCTTGCTTTTTCTTCTTTCTTTTCTCACCACTCGTGTCTTTGTATTGTGCCATCAAATCTTATATCCATTTACTTCTTTTTTTTTATAAGTTTTTTACGTAAGCTTTACAAAAATATCAATCAATTTGCTTGGCCTTTTCTTTGATTGTTCCTTTCTTATCAATTTTTTTTTTCTTTTATTTTTTTGAAGTGCAATGTGTCGTTATATGTTACGTCTTTTATTATCATGATTCATGGCTAATGATGATGAAACTGGACTCTATTACTCGTAGACTATAATAGATATGCACATCCGAAATTATGCACTTCTTATTCAAAAAATGGCTAGATTTACGACAACCAAAAGAAGGAGACAAATCTGATGCTACTTGATTTGATCTGTATTAGCGTGACTTGATCTGTATTTTAAATTATGTTAATAGTACTTGCCTTAACAATGAGTGGTACTTGTTTTCTAAGCTGGTATGTATGTGACAAAGAAAAAGGTAAAGGACAAGTATCTTGCATGGCCACTCCAAGCAAAATTGGATATTGATTTGGTGAAACAGTTATTGTTGTTCGTATAGGACAAATTATTTTCAATAAAAGTCGATAAATATTGATATCATATCATTATTATAGTTTGCTTACGATTCTATATTATATAAGATTTTAAAATATTAATAAAATAGTATCAACAACACTAGGAACTATCGTACCGACTACTGACTGAAGCTGGAATGCTTCTTTAATCATGCCTACGATCTTAATCAATAATGTTAGACTATTAGACCCGTGCTCATAACTTTTGGGTCCTAGGCGAATTAGAAAAGTTACTTTTTTGACGTTGTTGTCTAATAGTCCAAACAAGAACTTATAATGTGCTTTTTTTATAAAATGAAACAAAATGTACTTTGGCTATGGAGCCTATCGACTCCAGCACCAGCAGATGCTTAATCTACTCCATAGACTTAAAGAACGCCTTTTATCTGAAGTCGTATAGTTTCACAAGTCATTTGCCTATATTCTTGTTAAACTTATGTTTTGCTTAGAAATATATACAAGTTGATTGACTTGAGAAGGGAATCATATAATACATGAAAAAACGACTAAAGCAAAATGGGAATAAAAGAACACGAGGGCATTAACTAGTTCACTGAGGTTCAACAACATACTTAATCGTAACTCCTTTTGAATTAATAAGGAAGCCGAGCACTTGAGGGTCAAGAAAAAACATTCAGTGTCTGAAGCACTGAAACAAAACCAGCTAAGGGAGCCCTCTTACACGCCAGCGTCTTCGCAACTAAGGCCAAGATAACATAGCTGCGGCTAGCCGTGGTCTGAACTTGAAGCAGAAGCTGCAGAGATGTCTGGACGTCTTCTCTGGGCTTGGACCGAAATGAAGTGAGGTCCCAGAAACGGACAGCAAAAGGGCACTGCAGGAGAACATTGATTTCATCCTTTGATTGGCCATATGCATTAAGCTACAACTTTTTTACTAGAAATGAGATAGTATTTGAGATAGTATTTGAGAAGAACAAATATAAGTGGTGCAAACCCCAAAAAGAACAACTTTTTTACTTTGCCAAGAGCATTCCGATAAGGAGCAATTCTAGGTCATTTAGGTGGAATTGGTTCTAATAGCTTCTGAAAACTGCTCCTCCCAATCCAAGACTCCACAAATAGTTTATCTTCAAAGGAGAAGTTGAGGAACAACCTCTGGGAGTAAGACATGGCTGAGAACCATTAGAGTTGATGGAAGTTATGTTTGCTGTCAATATTTGCAAATTGGGCCTCAGCCATTGATGGAAATGTCCTGACATCCTATTTTAAGGAAGAAATGCAAAAAAGGTTAACTATCAAGAACAAACAAACTTAGCCAGAGTATACTTAAATACTGGATAAAAACTATAAAGAAAAAAACAAGGCAAGACACCTCAAGAGTGGCGCATAATTGTTCACAGGACCTTCATTCAAGTTTGTGATATTCAATGGCGCATCTGTATAAAAATATTAAGATGTCAATCTCTCTTACATACAGATCGATAGCCATCCACCTAAACATAAGCGATACTCTTTTTGTGAACTTGATATTTATTTACAAACTAAGTGTGTTAGCAAGTTAATCCTTATATTTCTTTCTATCTATATATACCAGCCAAATGCTAACCCTATCTAAAATAATGTAGAAATCAAGCCCTCATTCTCACCCATAAATGAAAATGATTATTCAGGGGAAAAGAAACATATATCGAACGCTCACCTTTGCCATGACATTTGGATTTCCATCTCTATCATCACCCATCCAGGAACCAAACTTTTTTGGATTCATTGATGCAATGCAGATAGAAGAAGAAAAGAAGATGATACAAAAAACACACACACACACACAAAATTTATTAATACGATGCAACGAAAGTACTATAACGTGCATCCACTGCGTAAACCTTTTCCCCCTTCACGACCACACTATCAAGGATTTATTGTAAACGCATCTCCGGATCCGGCATTGGAGGCAAAGGATCCCAAGTCTGAGTCTTTGGGTCGAAAACCTCTGCCCAGTTTGAGGATTCTGGGTCCAGGCAGCCTCCGCACACGTAAATCTTACCGCCCACAACTTCAGCCGCGGCAGCAGCTCGAGCAACTCCCATGGAAGGGACATGGCGCCACGTGTGAGTCCGACAATCCAAGAGCAAGAGCTTCCCCTTTATACGTCCACCAATTACATAGATCCCCCCATCCAGCACCACCACGGAGGATGCTTCCAGAGGCGGAGCGGGGAACGACGAGATCGGGATTAGAAGCGGATGATGAACCATCGTGGGGTTGGGTCGGGAGGAGTGAGCAAACATACATAAATGCAATTCTCGGTGCAACCCAATAACGATCTCGCCGTGTAGAGCTCAGGAGAAGCCGTTATGGAGTAATAACTCTTGGAGACCACGATGAAGGAGGCGGAGATATCTTACTCTTTTTATACGGTGGCTCTTGAACACCGGCTGAATTCGACATGAAAAACTCAAAGCTTGTCTTTTTAATTTTCCGGTGGTTTCTGACAGTTATGAACTGATCGAATAGATAAAGGTGTGGCCCGTCCGTTTTTCCAAAAAATTTAAAGTAAATTACTTTTAAAAAAAATTGGAAAGAAAATAAAGAGCAAGTTTATAAATTAGATAAATGAAAATATTACGTCCTAAACAACTCAATATTACCATATCTTCCCAATAGTTTCCATATATTTTTTTTCATACTTATCTTATTGGAAAAATGTCTTCTAAAAATATTTGAGAGGTGTTTAAACTTTCTAAAATTTATTCAAAATTAATCTAAAACCATATGCTATAATTTTTTACTAAATTTTTGGTAACGATAAGAAAAAAACAAACGACAAAAAAAAAAAAGAAAGATTTACTTTGGTTATTTATCTCGACGGGCTGATATAAGTATATAGCAAAATTTGATTTTTCGGGGAAGTTTTTATAGGCTAATCTGCTAAAAAGTGATCAAGCGAGTTCCAGAATTTGAAAGTTTGGGGATGAAATTGATGGATAAGAATTTAGGGTTAGTGGAGGTTCAGAAACTTGAAGGTCACACCGATCGTGTTTGGAACGTCGCCTGGAATCCCGCCGCCGACGGTGTTCTTGCCTCCTGCAGTGCCGATAAGACCGTACGAATCTGGGAGCAGAGCTCGCTTACTCGTTCCTGGACCTGCAAGGTCTCTCCCTCTCTCTTTCCAACTTGATGTTGTTAGATAAGGTGTCAGTAATGATAATGAAGCTTGCTGATTGGTCAGGCAGTTTTGGAAGGCACGCACACTAGAACTGTCAAGTCGTTAGCTTGGTCACCGTCTGCGAAGTTATTGGCCACTGCAAGTTTCGATGGCACTACTTGCGTTTGGGAAAATTTTGCTACTGACTCCGAGTCTGTCTCCGTTTTACAGGTACTATCTCAAAGGCCTATCCTTTTATGTGTTTGGGAATTCAAATTTATTTTAAAAAGTTTTTCCTTTTCATGTCCTCTGGTTTTTTTTTTTTATGCAGGTACATGAAAGCGAAGTCAAAAGTGTATCATGGAATGCATCTGGTTCGTTGCTTGCAACATGTGGTAGAGACAAGTCTGTCTGGATTTGGGAAGTACTACCGGAGAATGAATTTGATTGTGCTGCAGTGTTAACTGGTCATTCAGAAGATGTTAAGATGGTCCTGTGGCATCCCACCATGGATGTTTTGTTCTCTTGCAGTTATGATAACACTGTCAAGGTAAAGAGAACAATACTTCACATGTGCTTTGATGAATTGGACATCGATGCTTTTTGATCGTTCTGTCATATCTATATAGAAGCATTTAACTGCAATGCTTGTGTTTCTATTAACAGATTTGGTGGTCTGAGGATGAATATGGTGATTATAATTGTGTCCAAACCTTAGGTGAATCTAACAAGTATATCCTCTTATTATTTGCCTCTTCTACTTTCTCACACGTTCAAAGTTTTCCTACCATGACGCTATTGCTTTCTTGATATTTCTTCTATGCGTATAATAATATATGTTGCCTTTAATCTTCACTCAGTGGTCATTCTTCTACCGTCTGGAGTATCTCCTTTAATGCTGCAGGGGACAAGATGGTCACTTGTAGGTTGGTGAATCTTCTTTTCATTGTTTTGGATAGGAGATTTCATCTCTGTTACCTGCTCTGACTACATTGGGATTGTCTGAACTTGTAGTGATGATCTAACAGTGAAAATATGGAAGACAGATATTTCAAGAATGCAATCTGGTGAAGGATATGTACCCTGGTGAGGATATAATGGCATTCAATTATCACTTCATAGAGTTCAGCATACAGATCTTTCACCTTTTGAAGATTTATTCTTTGTTTTCGTATGATTTATAAGTTTGACATAAGATCCATGCGGTTGAATAGTCTTCATTCGCAAGGGATTTCATGTTCCAACTTGTAGCTAATGTAAGTTTTACGTGTTTGATTTTTGCAGGACCCATGTTTGTACACTCTCTGGTTTTCACGATCGTACCATATATTCAGTTCATTGGTCAAGGTATAGACTTCTCTCTTTGGTTTCTTTTGAGGCATTTGAAAGAAACAGTTGTTAAGTCCTACTCTATATTTCCATGCCAACCAAGTAGACGATTTCTTACACCTGATAAATGCATTTTTGTATCCAGTTTATTGATCAAATAAAGCCAAATTAGTAATGTGCTTTGCTGACCAATATTGATATGTCTCTAGTGACTACTGAATTTCTATTGATTGTCTTCTGCCATATGATTCTATATTTATTGAGCCTGTGCTTATGTTCAGAACCCAGATGTTTCCTACTGGATAAATCGATATAAGTTTTTGATAAGATCTGATACCTTGATAGGGACGGTGTTATTGCTTGTGGTGCAGGCGATGATACTATACAGTTATTTGTGGACAGCAACAGTGACTCTGTATGTCCTTCTCCCTTTTACCTAGAACCACAAATCCTTCTTTTATTATGATGTAGAAATATCATTAACCATATCTTGTCCGGTTTACTTCTTGGCATATGCTCTGTGTCATCGTTGTAGCGCAACACAAGAAACCAAAGCTCGTGGTTTCTGTGATTTTTTTTCCTTAGCTTTAAACTCTGGCCAGCGATTTTTCATTACATACAGTATACCTTCTGCTACAGCCAAATTGAAATGCTGATGATCATTATGTCAGGTTGATAGACCTTCATACAAACTTTTGCTTAAGAAAGAGAAAGCACATGAAAAGGATGTAAATTCAGTGCAATGGGCACCTGATGTAAGTTCCTTCTTTTCTTGAGGAGTAATAGGCTAGATATGTGCACAAATGCAGTCCCATACACAACAGTGTAAATCTTATATGTATTTTGGTACTGAGTTTGATTCTTAAAAATTTGAATGCTTAATTTTATTCTTTAAAATAGTTTAAGCATATACTCGAATCATCTCTTGCTATAGACTCTGATATCGAGATTTGCATTGCAGAAGGAAAGCCGGTTGCTTGCCTCGGGCAGCGATGATAAAATGGTTAAGATTTGGAAGCTTGCATCGGAGCCATGAATAAGCGGGTTATGCACCAATACATATTCTATTAATTTATTGGTTTTATGTTTCTTCTTATTTAGTTAGAATTTCTATTTCATGGTTTAACTAGGAATGTGTTTTCGTAGTTAGGTTTTGCTTTAGTATACAGAGAGATGCAGTTTTGCTTGAAAAAAATAGAGAAAGCTTTGGAAGGATATCTCGTTTAAACCAAAAAAAGAAAGATTTTGAGTTTTGTTGATCAGATTTGCGGAGAAATTACGTGCAATAAAGAGCCTTTTGGTTTCTTTTTGTGTGTTGGTGATCCTTTGTACTGACATTCTGAAAAAGATGTTTCCGAAACAGAGGAATCACAGAGTGTATCACTACCACCTACTCTTTGGTCTTTGCATCGTGCAAACCCCAAAAAGATGCTTAATCTTTTGCGTCTAATCCAATTTGTGTATGAAAATATTGAAATGGCTAAGTTGCTAAAATTAATCAACTAGCTCTAGAACTAGAGTTTGATAAGTTGGTCGGCCACTAGTTTCAAAGATCTCAAAGCTGGTACGTAATTTTACAATCCAATGAAATTTCCTTGTCATGGATCCATCTAATTATAGCTATTGTTCTTATTGGAATTCGGAGAAAATGTCATTGAAATCCCCAATTTATTGAAAACGTTGATTTGAATCCTCAACTCCCGACGAAACGAAATAAATATTAAATTTATGTGGACTTTCCAAATAAATACCAAACTTTCGTTGATTTGGCCATATTAGGCATGACATTAAGTGGGTTAACTAATCCCGTTAACAGAGTTAATTTTCTGTTAACTACATGTTAATTGAAAACGACATTGTTTCCTATAACAACAAAACGACGTCATTTTGTTATAACGATTGAACTAAATCCCTAATTCAATCTTAAATCCCCAAATCAAACAAAATTTCTAACCCTAAATCTTCATATGATTTGAAACCCGGAATTTTATTGAGGAGTTACAACAAAATGACGTCATTTTATTGTTAGAGGGAATGTTGTCGTTTTCAATTAACAGGTCTGGTAATAGAAAAATTAACCTTGTTAACAGGATTTGTTAACCTACTTAACGTCATGCCTAATATGGTCAGGTCAACGAAAGTTTGATATTTATTTGGAAAGTCAACATAAGTTTGATATTTATTTCGTTTCGTCGAGAGTTGAGGATTAAAATCAACGTTTTCAATAAATTGGGGATTTTAATGACATTTTTCCCATTGGAATTCTCACAATTAGCTAAGTTGAGATATCTGTGTCAAATATCTAATTATTATTTATTTATTTTCTATAAACAAAGATAATTTATGTACTACTAATGACATTTTCTCATTTCTTGTCTTGATTTTGTTTGGTAATGTTGTTGGTGTTCTTGTTTTGGTAAAACAGAGATCAAGCTCTCTCACTGTTGGAGAACAATTCTGCGCTGTCTTCATACCTTTCTTTGCCATTGTTGATGTCCTCATTTCCTCCGTCGGACAATGCTTCGATTGCCGGAGCACATCGCCTGACACATGTCAGCACGCGGATCTCGAACGTCTTGCCCGTGAATCTCGATGTTGGTTTTCTTTTTTTGCCTCTCTCTCTCTCTTTAATTCCATGTCCAATGTGTTATGTGTGTGCGTGCATTGTATATACATTTTGGATCAATGGGTTTTCGAATTTTTTGTGTTTGAGAGTTGTTAAGTTTTAAAAGTTTGTTCCTTTGCAGTTTCAGTCAATGAAGTTGAAGCTTTGTATGAGCTATTCAAGAAATTGAGCTGTTCAATTATTGATGACGGCTTGATTCACAAGGTCTGTTTTTTTCTTTCTTTTTGAAGAAACTCTCTCAGATGTCTAGTTGATGAATCACCACTTGACTCCTTAATGTGTTGATTCATTGCTTTCAAAGCATAAAGTTTTCTCCTTAAGCTATTCCTGGTTTGTAGGAAGAGCTTCGACTGGCGCTGTTCCAAGCTCCATATGGTGAGAACCTCTTTCTTGATAGGGTGAGTGTGTTCATGGAATAGCTTTTCATGGTTTCTTGGACTTGTTCAGATGAAAGTTTTGGTTTTTTATATTGATTCATGTACGTTTTGCAGGTTTTTGATCTGTTCGATGAAAAGAAGAATGGGGTTATTGAGTTTGAAGAATTCATACATGCTCTCAGTGTCTTTCATCCCTATGCACCAATAGAGGAGAAGATCGACTGTAAGGATCAATATTCAGTGTTCTGCTAATAATATAAACCATTGATGTGTCTCAAGCATATGCTTATTATCTGTGGCAGTTTCCTTTAGGCTCTACGATCTAAGACAAACCGGATTTATTGAGCGAGAAGAGGTAAATACTAATCTGCCATTGCAAGTTGCAACTCTTCTTTTGAGCTTCATAACAAGTTGAAGTTGTTATAACATGTTAGGTGCAACAAATGGTTTCTGCTATTCTGATGGAATCTGATATGTTGCTGTCTGATGAACTTCTGGCCATGATTATTGATAAAGTGAGTTTTTGGAATCCCATCTCGCTTAGTGTGATGTATCAATAATATTTTGATAAATTTAGTTAACAGATGGTTCTTTTGTTACTCTACTTTGTTTTTGCTAGACATTTGCTGATGCAGATTCCGACAAAGATGGTAAAATTAACAAGGAGGAATGGAAGGTGTATGTGCTTAAGCATCCGAGCTTGTTGAAGAATATGACTCTTCCTTACCTAAAGTACCTCTCTCTTTGTTAGACGAACTCTTCCATTTAAGATTTCCTTAACTCTATGATCAACAATATCTATTTGATTTTGAAGGGATGTGACGACAGCATTCCCAAGTTTTATATTCAACACTGAGGTTGAAGATTAAGGCAGCACCGTGTCCATGGAACACCCGTTGTCTTTTTTCTGCTTGGTCCCGTAACTCGAGTGAGATTGTCATGGCGCAAGAGCAGATATTGGTCTGGTATTCCTTATTGTATTTTACCCAAATTAGTTGGTGATTATTAGCTGTAAGTAAATTTGTCAAGGATTTAGCTATGTTTTGATGAGTTTATTGTAGATTGTTCCATTGAAAGTAATGTAGCATTTTTCTTTTCATCTTGCGTCTATGGCAAATATAGTTGATATAATTCCTGCTTCTAAACCAAAGTTTGTGTTTTGCTTTCATGGACTCTTTATCTACATATACATTTTTACAAGGTTTTTTTACATAAATTCATTTGGATCCGGTTTTACCCGGGTTTAACTCTATCCGGATCTTGAATAAGAAATTTTAGGAATGTTGTAATAAAAACAAACAAATATTTTGAGTATAATTGCTCTTATAATTCGGTTTAATGTTATTACCTAAACTAATTGCCATATTAATCGGCTCTATTCCTTTTTATCTCTAATTGATTTCGAATCTTTACACAATCTAAGCTAAGAAAATTCGTTAAGGAAATCTTAAATAAAAAACGACATTAACTCTTAAATTACCCATATTTTATGGCAATTGGATCTTCAATTAAAAATCTGCAAAATAAAAACAAATAAGAACATAAATGGTTGAGTATATGACGAAATCAATAATATATATTGAAATCGGAAGTTAATATACGCCCTGATTTTACGTAATTACCATAATTACTCGATATCTAATAAAATAAATATTCGAAATTTAAATTCATATCTCATATATTAAGCAACTACCAAATCAACATATAATCAACAAAATCCTAATGAATAACAATAAGCTTCGTTTTTACCTAAAATATCGAAATCATTAACTATAACCGCACGAAATCAGGAACGTAATTTTATCAAATCAAAAATTAAGGAATGATGATTTGAAATCTTTTATATGTTCACTGAATGAAAGATTTGAGATATTCAAAATTTATGGGAGAATATTCCTAAACCAGAAACTAAATATTGTATACTTGAAAGATAATGTATAGATTTATTCATATTTAACCTAAAAGTAACACTGCATAAGGCGATCTTCTTGACTATAAATACATCATCCCATTTCTACAATTCTCAATAACCCAAACGTGTTGGATTCACGTACCTTGACGACAATGAGCCTTTCAATATAAGTTGGCACAATCATGTGGAAACGTGTGGTATCAAGTTGTTTCTAATTATTTTTATTTTTTTGATTATTGTGGAACTAAGGTTGTGTTTTCTCACATGCATGCTATCATATGTGGGAAAAAAAATCGGTGAAAGATATGAAGAGACTCTCAATGTGCATTAACACTCCTAGATCGTTCATTTGATGAGCAATGTCCAAGTATACAAAATCTTCTTCTTATAATGATTTAATTGTAGTGTTTCTTATAATTAAGTGAGAAATAATGAGATTCACAAATGATATACTATATCTTACTAACTATTCTTTGTTTTTAACTACAGATTCAAGACCTAAAATAAGGAGGTATCTAGTATCTACTCCTAACTATAAATCTAATGATTTGAATGATTTGAATGTTTTGAACGTTTTTCGTTAATCTCACTATCCTCTTTTCCCTACGTTTTACTAATAGTAGTGAAATCTAATAAGTTACAATGTCCACTTTATCTACAGCATCATCTACGAGTAGAATAAACGACTCGGTACTGAGGTATAATATCTATACATTCTTCTTAACAAAAACCAGCTTCTACTGGATTAGGACATACACTACTAAGAATTCTATTGTACAAGATCTGAATTTGTGTGGGATACTTGAAGAAATAGCGAGGCGTGGAATGTCATTCGATGAATTACTCACCATCCCTGAACAGGATGAATGGGTTTATAGTGACGGGAAATCAACAGCATGTGTTGCTTTCATCCTTGCAATGTACAAAGCCGCTGGTGTATTCGGCCCTCTCGCTAATCACATTCAAGTCACTGAATTCACTGTGCGTTTCTTTTCTTCTTTCGATATCAAGTCTTTCCATTTAACATCACTCTTGAGCATTTATTTCTTTCCTATTCTCAGATCCGAGATGCGTACACTCCGAAGTTATTTGAGTCTAACCAGACTCGGCTACCGAGTTGGTGCAACACAGAGGAAGAGAAGCTTGACTTCTGTCAGATTCTAGGTGAATACAGAATGGAGTTGTTTTGTTGTTTGTAGCAAAGCAATTGGGTTCAAAGTAATTGTGATGATGGATACACATTAATTCCAAATACGCTTTTTTGTTTTTTTTGTTACATAACAACATTCATATCGATTTTATTTATAATGGATACACAATTACACACATTCAACACTTTAATTTTATTTGCACAAAAGACATGTATATAGATATTGAAATTTTTAATATTTATTTGCTGAATAAAAATTTACAAACTAAATCTAAACTCATATATTATGTAAAGAAGAAAATAAATGCATATTTTAATACTCTATACATGAGTGCGTAATGAACTATATATCTCTATCTCTATATTTTCAAGAATAAATTTAAAATATACTAATCCTACAATATATAGATATATATATAAATCTATATATATACACATTTAAATCATAAAAAATAGCATATATGTAAAAGAAAAACCTTAAAATAAAAATTCAAATCTTTATTAAACAAAAATATAGGCCCGCGGTGTACCGCGGGTTAATTTCTAGTGCCTAGGTAAGAGTTATGAGTAAATTGCAAGAAAGCAATGATTTTGATAAACTACATATATATTAAGTGGTTTCGTAATCTTCATTAACAATTAAGATTTTTGGTTTTTAAATTTCTACAACTTTTCGACTATATATGTTTGTTTTCGGTCAATTGTGGTGTGGAACATGTAATTTATAGATGCTTTAGAATGAAAATAACAGAGTAAGAGACAGAAAGCGTATAATGAGAACACTATGGACAGAATGTGAAAGAGAAGAGAACATGGTGAGAGAAGGGGACACAACACATTGCGACAGAGCTGTAATCAAGCAGATACTGCAGCTGCGACTTGTTCTTCCTCTGGGAGGAGAGTGCACACCAGTTTCCTGTCTCCATATACATTGTCCACACGCCCTGTTCAACGTTTCAATCATTTGTCACAAACCAGAATCTCGAAACCAAAATAAACTGAATCGAGAACTTGGATGGTCTAATACCTGTGGTGGGCCAGAACTTGGAGGAACGGAGCCACGGGGCAGGGAAAGCAGCGTACTCTCGAGAATACGGTTTTTTCCATGTGTCTGCCATTAGCAACGATGGAGGATGTGGAGCTCCCTGAGAACACGAACAACCACCAAAGTATGTATCTCAACTTCTCCAAACAATATTATTACTGGACATAATAAGATGAGTCTTTGTTTTCTTAATTACCTTGAGAACGTTGTTCTGGACATCTGCATTTCCTTTTTCAATCTGTGCAATTTCTTCCCTGATTGAAATGAGAGCATCGCAGAACCTGTCTAGCTCCGCCTGCAAACGAATATTATTTAGTTTCATCACGTTGATACATTGAGAGAAGAAAGAGTGTGAGAGATTGGCATACCTTGCTTTCACTCTCGGTTGGCTCAATCATAAGAGTTCCAGGGACAGGCCAAGACATTGTGGGTCCATGGAATCCATAGTCCATTAGCCGTTTCGCCACATCCTCTGGTTCTATTCCAGCAGTGTTCTACAAATCCATATTTGAATCGGTCAGTAATATGCATCCCCCAAAGCAAATACTTTAATTTCAATTCACAACATTTTAATACCTTGAAGCCTCTCAAGTCTATAATGAATTCGTGTGCTACTGTTCCGTTAACACCACGGAAAAGAACTGGGTAGTGTTTCTGTAAAAACAAATCATGGCAATGTAAGTACAAGATATTGAATTGGACTGTCTTCATTCTCAAATGATAAATAGGCAAAGAAAAGATAAAGATGGTCAACTACCTCTAGACGCTTTGCCATGTAATTGGCATTCAAAATTGCAATCTTGGAAGCATCAGTGAGTCCACCAGATCCCATCATGGCAATGTAAGTATAAGATATTGGCAAGATAAGCGCAGATCCCCACGGTGCAGCGGATATTGCACCCAAAGGTGCTGTCTTCTCGGGTTGTGGGATACCACCAGTAGGTATCTGTATACATGGAAATGGAAGAAACAAAAAAATAAGGAATTAATCATCAATCACCAAGAAACATAACAGTGATGAAGGATCAAAGACTAACCACGGGGTGAGAAGGAAGAAATGGTGCCAAATGATTCTTCACACCAATGGGACCCATACCAGGACCACCACCTCCATGAGGAATACAGAAGGTCTTGTGGAGATTGAGATGGCACACATCCGCTCCAATAAAACCAGGGCTCGTCAAGCCAACCTAAACGAACCCAACACCATACTCTTACAAATTAGACAAAACCCAATATCTCTGTTTTCTGTTTTAGTAAGATATTTCACCTGTGCATTCATGTTGGCACCATCCATGTACACTTGACCTCCATTTTCATGTATTATGTTGCAAATCTCGTCGATACCCTCTTCATAGACTCCATGAGTTGAAGGGTATGTAACCATAAGAGCGGCTAAGTTGTCTTTGTTGGCTTCTGCAGCTTTTCTCACCTCCTCGATGTTGATGTTTCCCTTAGCATCAGTTCCAACCGTAATAATTTTCATACCGCACATAGCAGCACTTGCAGGGTTTGTCCCATGTGCAGAGACAGGTATGATACACACATTTCGGTGATGATCTCCTCTTGACTGAAAAATGCATTCATTCATTCACTTTTCAGCTTAATACAACTGAAAAGAAATTGCTAAGGTAAAATATAGATCCAAATATAGGATATAAGCTTTTACCATGTGATATGCGCGGATAACCATAAGCCCCGCATACTCACCAGCAGCACCAGCATTAGGTTGCAATGAGAAAGAGTCAAACCCAGTGATTGTACACAAGAGGTCACCCAAATTTTCGAACATTTCCTACATACATGTGGACAAGAAATCAGTTCATTGTTCAACTTTCTAAATCAAACCTCAGATGAATCAAGAAAGTGACTCACCTGATAACCTTGTGCTTGTTCAACAGGAGCAAATGGGTGAATGTCGGTGAAACTTGGCCATGTGACTGGCATCATTTCAGTTGTCGCATTTAGTTTCATCGTACAAGATCCCAATGGAATCATGCTGTGGCACAGTGATAGATCCTTAGACTGTAACTTGTGGATGTACCTAAGCAACTCATGCTCTGTGTGGTACCTAATCACATTATCAAAATGGAAAATAAAAATGAGATACTGCTAATCCACAAGTAATAAGCCACTCAAGATTCAAAGAAGAGAATAATACATGTTGAAGATTGGGTGGGTAAGATAAGGACTCTCTCTTGTTAGGCTAGAAGGAATGGAATTCTGAACCTCGGGTGCTAGAGATTCAGCCGTAAATGGAACCTGAAGCGAATCGGAGATAGTCAAATTTCATGCAAGGATCCTAGAACTGATAAGTAAAGAACAAAAAAGAGGTATGAACAACACTCACAGGCTTGCCAGAAGCAAAAACTTTGAAAAGTTTGTCGACATCATCCAAGGTGGTTGTTTCGTCAAAGGAAGCAGTAATCTGAATTAAGTAATCATTATCCAAATATTCAAATCTGTATGATGCTATACAAGTAAAAACCTTCAAAGGCCAAAGCAAAGGAGACTCACAGTGGTTGAGTCCACAACACGTAGATTAATTTCACTTTTGGAAGCTGCATCAGCAATTGCATGTGCATCCGAACACTTAATTTTTACAGTGTCAAAGAAGGGAAGTTCTTGGACTTCTGCGACCCCAAGCTTCTTTAACCCTAAGGAAAATATGCCAGCAAGACCATGAACACGCTGGGCAATAGATTTTAGACCTGCAGGTCCATGGTAAACAGCATACATGGCAGCCATGTTGGCAAGCAACGCCTGCAAGAAACAGAGAAAACATTATACAACATGGCAAAATAAAAGGAAAAGGATAAGTTTTCAACAAAATGAATCAACATATCATTCTAATAATCTGTGCGAACTAATAGTGGCAAGCGAAAACCAAGTAATCAGATAGTAAGAAGTCATTACTTGAGCAGTACAGATGTTGCTAGTGGCTTTGTCCCTCCTAATATGCTGTTCTCTAGTCTGCATAGCCATACGCAGAGCTTGCTTTCCTGAAGAATCAACACTAATACCAATAATCCTCCCAGGCATCATTCTCTTATACTCTTGTGAAGTAGCCAAGAACGCAGCATGAGGGCCTCCATAACCCATCGGAACACCAAACCTTTGAGCCGAACCAACAACAATATCCGCCCCAAATTCCCCAGGGGGTTTCAACATAGTCAAAGCCAGCAAATCCGTAGCCATAACAACCTTAACACCATTAGCATGAGCATTCTTGACAAACTCAGCATAATCCAAGACTTCACCTTCAGTACCAGGATACTGAACAAGAACCCCACAAACATCACCAGAGCTGTAATCTATATCCTTAAGATCAGCGGTAACAACTTTCAAATCAAACCCTTCAGCTCTAGTCTTACAAACATCAATAGTCTGAGGGTGACAGTTACTAGCAATCACAAAGGTCTTCTTTTTACCCTTAAGAATGTTGTTACACATGGCCATTGCCTCCGCAGCAGCGGTCCCTTCATCCAGAAGCGAAGCATTCGACATAGGAAGCCCGGTGAGATCGGTGATCACCGTCTGGAAATTGAGCAGCGATTCGAGACGACCCTGAGAGATCTCAGCTTGATAAGGAGTGTATTGAGTGTACCAAGCTGGATTCTCCATGATATTACGGAGAATGACAGTAGGGACATGCGTGTTGTAGTAACCCATCCCGATAAACGATTTCAAAACCTTGTTCTTGGAAGCTAAATCAACCATGTGCTCAATCATTTGGCTCTCGGTTAAACCTCCGTCGAATTTGGAGAACTTCATCGAATCTAATCGAATAGATTTGGGCACCGTAGCATCGATGAGTGAATCGATATGGTCAAAGCCACAGAATTTAGCCATGTGGGATTGTTCGTCTGGTGTTGCAGAGTTATGACGACGCGGGAAAGTATCGCCGGGTTTAAGAGCATCGACGGAGATCGAACGCGTCTGCTGGTGCCTCCCGAAAGCCGCCGCGGGATTGACGGATCGATGGGTCGAGAGAAAAGGGGAAAGAGAAGAGACATACCTCGCCGGAGCGTGAGGAACAAGGTGAGGTGTTTCAGCGTTACGGTGTCGTTTTGTGTCGTTAACGAGACGTTTGACGATTCCTCTGTAAGCAAGTCT